CGTGAAAACCTGGTTTCACGTGTTTTTAAATGCAATTTAGCAACGATTTCAACCCTAATTTTTGGATAATTCGCAGATATCCTTCATCTGCACACCTTTCACAAGACTTTTAGACTAGGAAAATCAAAAACTTGTTAAATAAAAGATTTTTTTGACTTACTTTTATTACGTAACTATTTTTAATTTTTCTTTTTACAAAATTATTTAAACACGGCAATTTTTTGTTTTTAATACTGTTTACTAAATAAACAAAGGAGAAAATCATTATATATGAATAATTTGTAATACTATTTAAAAGACTAATAAATAACTTACAATAATGACAATTTACCTATATGAAAGTGTTCATTCATAATTAAGATCTTTTTAATTAATATTTCTAGTACCACTGAAATGAGTATACTGTAAATGGTCATTTCGTTTTTAAAATATTTGAACAATACCTATCTGGTATCGCTATCACTAAAGTACTTTTTTTAAGAAAATTGCTATTTATATCGATTAACATTGACGCATGCGTGTTTACACGAGATCTTCTCTGTCAGAAAGCAAACGGATAATGATGTACGTATGTGTACTTATGATGGGATTGATGAAACTTGCGAAATAGAGCGACTAGTTGCGAATAATTCCGACCATATCTCCGCCTTCTTCTTTAGATTCCCTTTACGCTGCGTACCCCTGAAAAACTTTCGTTGTGCTACTGAGTACCCTTTAATAAGGTCTACAAAAAAGTCCGCGATGGTATATGTCTATCTCTTAGGGATAACCCATAATAACCACTTTTTATCCTTTACTTTTTATGAGAAATAATGGCTTATTTACGAAGCGATTTTAAGCAATACAGCATTAGTCCTTATCCAATTAAGTACTTTTAAATACATTGTGCATTTAATATAGATNTATTTGAAAATACATTTGTAAACTTTGGTGTAGAAATTCCTAAAATGGAACAATTGGATTTAAACATAACTAAAACGGTCTTTTTAAAACAAAGGCATTTAAATGATATTCAAGAGTTAAAAAATGAGGCTGTTCAATTACTGCCGAATTTTAAAGTCCATCCAGTTGTCCATTTAACGCACATTTGAATATCTGTATTGTTTGATAGTGTTTAACTGTTATAATATTTTTCATAATTGCAAAGTACAAATTATGTTGCTCTATAAAAAATAAATCAGTAGCCAAAGAAGACGTCATCGAAGGTCAGAATTCACCGTTGTCGTAATATGAGAATCGAGGACGATTCTATCACTAAGGAGGGAGGAGTTATGTCCTTGAACCAATATACAACCGACGAGCGTGAGATGTTACCATGAGAACGTATTTTACTGATTATGCATTTTTAGGATTAGTGTTGCATCTTTCTAATATGTAATAATAAAATTGTTCACTTCTTATTAGTCTCTCGATTAGAGAAGTCGCCTGCTTCAATTTNAAATAGGCAAATGAAAAACAGAAAAAACAAAAAATGGATATGTAACCGTTGTTTAAACAACTTCACAACAGAAGAAAATCTACAAAGACATTTGATTGACTGACAAAATTTAAACAAAAGTAAAATTACTTTACCAAATGATAGCGAGAAATATTTAAGATTTAAAAATTTTAAAAATAGGGAATATGTACCGTTCGTAATATATGCAGATTTAGAATGTTTACTTCTTAAATATTTCGATGCAAACCCTACAAGCAAAACGCTGTATCAAAAACATGAGCCTTTCAGTATTGCATATTACCTAAAATGTTCATATGATGACTCATTTTCTGAGTTTAAACTATATACTGAAAAGGATTGTGTCTTGTGGTTTGTTAAAGAACTTGAACGAATGGCGTTTATTTTCAAAAATATCTTTTCTAATGTAATTCCTATGAAAAAACTGACTTATGAAGAAGAATGTAACTTTTTTAAAGCGGAAAGGTGTCATATTTGCTATAAATCATTCACTCATGATAATATTAAAGTAAAAGATCACTGTCATCTTACAGGTAATTATAGAGGTCCGGCACACTCAAAATGTAACTTAAATTATAAAGATAGTCATTCAATTCCAGT